TTCTCCTGAACCCCGTTCTGCCATTCATTTACTCACGCTTATTTATTAGCCTTGTCCGTTCAGGAGGAAAGCGGTCATGGCTCTCCACTATTTCCTCTCTTTTGTAGCTCTTAATATAATTTGTCTTTTCATTGATTCTCCTAAACTATGTCCCGTCATTCATTTAATCAAGCTTATTTATCTTTTTCTATATGCCGTATCCGTTTGTTGGGGGGGGGAGCGGTCATGTCTCTCCACAGTTTCCTCTCTTTTGTATTTCTTAATAATTTTTGGCATTTCATTGATTCTCCTAAACCCTGTTCTGTTATTCATTTGCTCACACTTATTTATCATCTTCTATGTGACATCTCCCTTCGGGAGGAAAGCGGTCATGGCTCTCCACTATTTCCTATATGCTTATAGCTCTTAACATATTTTGTCTTTTCATTGTTTCTCCTAAACTCTGTTATGCCATTCATTTAATAACGCTTATTATCTTCTATGTGCCATGGTTCTTCAAGATGGAAGCGTTCATGGCTCTCCACGATTTCCTATCCTTTTGTAGATCTTAATACATTTTGTCTTTTCATTGTTTCTCCTAAACTCAGTTCTACTATTCATTTGCTTACCCTTATTTATCCTCTTTTATGTGCTGCACCCCTTCAAAATGGAAACGGTCATGGCTCTCCACAATTTTTCTCCTTTGTAGTTCTTAATAAATTTTGTCTTTTTCTTATTTCTCCATAAACCTTCTTCATTCATCCATTTTCTCAAGCTCATTCTTCTTCTTCTTCTTCTTCTTCTTCTTCTTCTTCTTCTTCTATATGCCGTGTCTCTTCAGGAAGTAGGCGGTTGAGGCTCTCCACACTTTCCTCACTTATGTAGTTCTAAATATATTTTGTCTTTCGGTGATTCTCCTAAACCATGTTCTGTTATTCATTTGCTCACGATTATTTATCCTCTTTTATGTTTCGTTTCCCTTCGGGAGGAAAGCAGTCATGACTCTCCACTACTTCCTCTCCTTTGTAGTTCTTAATAAAGTTTGTCTTTTCGTTGTTTCTCCTAAACCCTGTTCCGTCATTCATTTACTCAATTTTATTTATCTTCTTGTATGTATCGTGCTCATTCAAGATGGAAGCCGTCATGGCTCTCCACAATTTCCTATTCTTTGTAGATCTTAATAAGTTTTGTGTATTTGTTATTGCTGCATAAACCTTGTCCTGTCATCCATTTACTCAAGCTGATTCTTCTTCTATATGCCGTAACTCTTCAGAACCTAGGCGTTTAAGGCTCTCCACAATTTCCTCTCCTTTGTAGCTCTTAATAAATTTTGTCTTTTCTTTTTTTTCGTTCTTTCTTCTAAACCCTGTCCCGCCATGCATTTACTCAAACTCATTCTTCTTCTACGTGACATGTTCCTTCAGTACGTATGAGATAATGGCTCTCCACAATTTCCTTTCCTTTGTAGCTCTTAATAAATTTGTCTTTTCGTTATTTCTCCTAAAGCTTGTTCCATCATCCTTTTACACTGTCATTTATCAAATAAAATATGAAAGCTAACTGCGTGAAGAGGTTTAAGTTTTTGCAATTAAGATCTGTAGACAGCGACATGTGCAACTAGAGTCACATGACAGTCACTCATCACTCTTTCAGACAAACAGTCTGAAGAATGCAAATAGTGTAAATAGTTACAATACCTCATCTCAGAAATATACATAGGTCCTGAAGAAGACCGGAGCGTACAACGTAGGAAACGTCGTGACGATATGATATTAAAGGTGATGACAACAGTCCGAATAATGTCAATAGTGTAAAGAAAATATTAAATTTAATCGATTAGCTTTAAATTTAATCGATTAACTTCTGTTGTAGCCTAGAAAAGGTTACTGAATGAGGAATAAACAAAAAAGAGGTTGGAAATGAAATGGTAATCTTTAAAACATCAACAAAATACAATACTCGCCAGCGGCGTAAAGTAGGTAAACAACTGCTAGTGGTGGACTACTTAGGCAGCATATTACCTCCACTTACAATGGTGTTTAACGTATTTATGAAGACTGGGATAAACCCATTAGTGTTCATAGGTACGGTATATAAAAGCGTCAAATCAAAACTAAAATAAATGCTTCACGAAAGATTATTTTTATTTTAATAACAGAAAGGATTATAATCCTTCCGAGGCCCGAGCGATCAACAATATATCTATTTTCATCTACCGACCTGAATATTCGAAAAATCTTATTTAAAAAATATGTGCTCTTCGGCAGTATTCGAACCTGCGTCCTCCTTGACAGGGGAAATAGCCGTAAGATCCACCGTGCTTTTCGGTGCTTTTCGGTGCTTTTCAGTGTTTTTCGGTGCTTTTCAGTGCTTTTCGGTGATTTTCAGTGTTTTTTCAGTTCTTTTCAATGCTTTTCAGTGCTTTTCAGTGTTTTTCTGTCCTTTTCAGTGCTTTACAGTGTTTTTCGGTGCTTTTCAGTCTTTTTCAATCCTTTTAGGTGTTTTTCAGTGCTTTTCGTGGCTTTTCAGTGTTTTTCGGTGCTTTTCGGCACTTTTCAGAAATTTTCGGTGATTTTCAGGGCTTTTTGATGCCTTTCAGGGCGTTTCCATCTTTTTCAGTGCTTTTCAGATTTTCGGCATTCAAACAAAAATAATGTTTAATTAATAAAATGTGTCGCATTAATAAATAAAGAAACATCACTAACTTCTTTAAAAATAATTTTAAGAGCGAAAAGAGCCGCTCACTCTTTTCAGTATTGATATGTAGCTTTTTAATAAGAAAATAATATAGTAATATAATAAAAGCTGATTTTTCCATTAAACCTTGTTAATTATTTCTATTTGTTGCTATCAGTATGGCCCTGCGTTGCCCGTGCTTGATTCAAAAATCGTACGACTCGTACAGCAATCGCTATCACTTGACTTAAAATATTTTTGCCCTTCCTTGCCTTTAAACGAGTGACCTTTGCCATGCTGATGTTGCTACATGCCTTACTTCTTGCCTATCTCACACTGCGAATTTTTTCTAAGCTCTATACTATACATTAAATCTGTTACGAAAAAAGAACTAAACAAAATGAACACAAAACGATCAGCTTTAAAAAAGGACTCGTAACTGGAAAAACCGAATGAAAAAGAATGTTAACAACAAATAATTTTCACATCCAACCCAGTTCTGCGGAATCAGAATCAACGTTGAGTTTAAGCAAGCGAATAAGGCAATTGGAGTAAAGTGCCATGCGGATTTAAATTTCTCCCACTTGTGACGAATGCAGCTATTGATATTTTTGGCATGCTAGCATGCTAGTTAACATTCGTTTCAGTCAGCTGTTAGCTCTCACGCTGGCCAATAGAATCTTCCTGCCTATTGGTGGCAGCCAGCTATTGGCTCTCACTCTGGCCAGTACAAAATGGCCGCAAACTACATGAAAACTGCCGTAGAAGCATGAAAAAATCGATTATTTCCACTATCGATGAGAGTTGGGAAATGCAAAGTCGGTCTTGGCCTTCCCACTAACTTGGAGCATGTGCATGAAAATAATGGTGCAAATCCGTCGAAAATTGCGGCCGTGCATTCGTTACACACACACACACACACACACACACACACACACACACACACACACACACACACACACACACACACATCCTGCCTTTTCTTTTATAGATAGAGATTCCTTTAAAATTATTCTTGTGCATTTACTTTTAATAACGTTTAGTTCTGGCCTACAGCCACGAATTTTTTCTCGACAGACACAGAATTGGAAGTGGGGCGGATTGCACGGATATTCCACAGCTTTGGGTAAATCTTGAAGGTGTTGACTTTGTCGACTTGGCGTAATATTTATTGAAATATGAGGAGAAATAAAGTGGAAAGAGGAATAATGGCAGCAAGATCAGAAAACCAAAAAACCAGAAAGAGGCTGAACTTGCTTTTTCATTTACATTCTTTTTTTTATCATTAACCACAAATGTATTATTTTTCTTTCTTTCATTTTTGATTTATCGATATATTCTTATTTTATGAGCCATTTCTACGTTTTATTTTTCATTCAGCTTTTTACTTTCATTCATTCGCACATCCTTTCTCCTATATTGTTTACTCACCTTTATTGTCATGTTCACGACGTTCCGGCCCTAGTACGCCCCGACCATCTTCAGGATGTGTCTATATTTGTGAGATTAGGTATTGTAAATATTTAAACCCTTCACATTGTTCGGACTGTTGTCCTGATCTTTATTGTCATGTTCACGACGTTTCGGCGCTGGTACGTTCCGACTATCTTCAGGATATGTCTATATTTCTGAGATGAGGTATTGTAAATATTTAAACTTTTCACATTGTTCGGACTGTTGTCCTGATCTTTATTGTCATGTTCACGTCGTTTCGGCCCTGGTACGCCCCGACCATCTTCAGGATCTGTCTATATTTGTGAGTTTAGGTATTGTAAATATTTAAAATATTAACATTGTTCGGGCTGTTGTCCTCACCTTTATTGTCATGTTCACGACGTTCCGGCCCTGGTACGCTCCAACCATCTCCAGGATATGTCTATATTTCTGAGATGAGTAAGTATTTACACTATTTATATTGTTTGGACTGTTTTCCTGATCTTTATTGTCATGTTAACGACGTTCTGGCCCTGATACTCTCCGAAATTCTTCAGGGGATTGGAATTTTGAACTGAACCCATTATTTCATCCACCGGGGTAGATTGTTCTAGTTCCACATGTCATGACTCTTCCGGATGTCTCAGTTGTCTTCCATTTACTCTTCAAGTTCTTTTTTTTTTATTCACTACTGGATTGAACACACAAATCTTTGCAACAAGTTACTAGATCCAACCAACGCTTTTTTTCACTGGGTCATGTGTCCTCTCGTCTATTCAAATATTTTTTCAGTCATCCATTTTGTTGTAATACATGCCCTTCTTTGTAATAAATACTCTTCTTTTTCTTTGTCTTTTCATTCTTTAATTTTCATTCACCGGTTTATATATTTCTTCTTTTTTAAATTTTAGTCACGTTCTTCATTTTTCTTTTTTTTTTTCTTCTTACATACAATTTTCTTTTTATTTCATTTATTTAAATGTTGCATTTTTCATTCATTCATTCCTCTTTTCATTCTTTCATTCTTTTTTTGTATTTCTTCCTACCACCTATTTTTCATTCATCCTTGTATTTCCTTCCATTTGATGTACCTTTTTTCATTTATTTTTTTCTTTTTCATACTTTCATATTTCTTATAACAGTACCTTAAATATTCCATTTTTTCTGTTAACATTCATTTCTCTGTTTTTTTCATTCATCCCTTTATTTTCATGCATTCATTTCTCTTTTTTTTTTCTTTCAAATCTATCCTCATCTATTCTTTCATAATGTTAAGAATATTTCCTTTATTTTTTTCTTAATCCTTTTTTCTGCTTTCTTTCATTATTTATTTCATTTTTATTCACAGGCCTAATATATCCATTTTAAAACCTTTTTCTAGCAATTCTCCTTCCTTACTTTTCCTTTTCTTTTTTTTCTTTTTCTAGCCACATGTTTGTTTTCAGTCTCCTTTCCTTTCTTTATTCCAATTATCTGTTTCTTTCTTTTTTCTTCGTTATTAATTTTTCTCGGCTATTCCTTCTTTCGATTCTTTCTCTTCACAGTCAATGACGATCTAACGCTTATTACAAACTATCATGTATCGATCACAAACCTTTTATAAAACGCCATCAGAGCCATAGAATAACATTTACTTATGGTTTTATGCGTAATTACTCATCGTTTTACGAAATGGATCGACAAACTTGACATAGGCAGGACGGGCAATCGGCATTTCATTAACAACTATTTAGTTAGACGTATTCTTACTCGCTCTCACTAAAGGCAGACGACAACTTTAAAATTTTCAACCTGATGTAACTAAAGGCTGCCAGTAAAGAAAATCAAAGAAAATTGTTTAGAAAATAATACAACGTTAGTAACTAAAACTTGGCATATCAAAAAGTGAAGTTATTAAGTAAGAACGTATGGATCGACAAAAGAGTAATAAATCAACAGAATCTATGGATGGACGAAGGAGTAGAAATAAACTGAAACAATAAATAAACTATGCAAAACGAAGGTTGTAAAAGAAATGATGCGCAAAAAGAATAAAAAATATAGACAGAAGAAGAATGGAGGAGGAGTGAAGATGGGAGTGGGAGTGAAAGCGGGAGGAAAAGTGAAGAAGGGAGGAAGAGTGAAGGGAGGAAGAGTGAAGAAAAGAGGAGAGAAGAAGGGAGGAGGAATGAAGAAGAGAGGAGGAGTGAAGAAGCGAGGAAGAATGAAGACAGGAGGTGTAATGAAGGAAGAGGAGGAGTGAAGAAGGGAGGAGGGGGAGGAAGAGTGAATGAGGAAAAGGAAAAAGATGAGAATAAGATGACGTAAGAAGAATCAGGCAGAAGACAAGGAGGAGAGAGGGCGCGGGTGAGGAATAAAGAAAGGAACAGTAAGGGGAAAAGGGGTGTATCAGAATGAGGAAGAGAAGTAGTAGGAGGAGGACAGTGAGAACAAGACAGGGAGAAATAGGTGGGGAAGGAAGAGAGATAGTAGTAGTAGCCGAAAAAGAAGAGGAAGATTAACATGGAGAAGAGGGAAAAAAATGGAGGAGGAAGAGAAAAATAGAAGAAAAGGAGGAAGAAGACGATGATGAAGAAGAGGATTTTAACCAAGACGTAATTTCCAAAGGGTGTTTCATTAAGACGGATCAAAGTCAGCAGTAAATAAATCAGTGTTATTGGTGAAAATTTATTTATTTTCATATTGGATCATGTTATTTAAGTCATGGCAATTATGTGTGAAAAATAATATCGCCCAAATATCCGCCAAATTTGAAATAAAAAGAAAAAAAAAAACATTAGACGCTTAATTCACACTGAACATCGTTCCAAGTTATTGGAACACTTATTAGCTGTTTTTACCGAACCGAAAGAATGTATCCGGTTGGTGTCGTGTTTTCAGTTAAATTCGTACGAATCTGTAAGATGACCCTTTGTCTAAGTCCAGGAACAAAAGAAAAGAGTATTGTGTTTATTGCAGCCTCGATTCAAGATTACAGACTTCGTGATATGGCAGTGAAACTTAACCCTTCCAACAATTTCGCCCATGTTATCTTCTAAGAGAATTTGAATTCATTGTACGTTGAATACTGTTGAGCCCCGAAGCAAATTAAAACACCAGCATTACTTTTTTGCATCTGAAATAGCAACAGCAACAATGGCCCACAGAGACAACCGACATGGTAAAAGAGTCTCTAAGGCTGTGAATTTGTACGTCAAACATAATGTTAGCTTGACATTCAGTCAGTTATGTGCCATGCGTGATACGTGCTTACGCGATCATCTATCCTTCGATATATGACTGACGAAGCAGATTTTTTCCCGCATTTTCCGCCATTTCTTTCCACTTGTTATCCAAGGCTATAGAATCCGGTCTGTCCTGCTATTTACCCATAGTTGTGGGGAGAATAGGATTCCATAACTTTCACAAGTTTAAGAGCAAATAAGTGAATCTAATAGATTCGACAGGAAAGTGAGTCAGTCAGTTATGTGACATGCCTGATACACGCTTAGTCGATCATGTATCTTTCAATACATGACTGACGAGACAGATTTTTTTATTTCCGCCATAGGTTGTCATTTTTTCTGCGGTAGACCAGTTACCATCCAAGGCTATACAATCCAGTCTGCCCTGCTATTTACCCATAGCTGGGATGAGAAGAAGAGGATTCATACCTTTTCCAATGGTATTAGCACGTAAGTGAATGTAATGCATTCGACAGGAAAGTCAGTCAGTCAGTTATATACCATGCGTGATACACGCTTAGGCGATCATGTATCTTTCGATACATGACTGACGAGGCAGATTTTTTTCTCGCTGGAGGTTGCCATTTCTTTCTGCAGTAGACCAGTGGCCATCCAAGGCTGTATAACCCGGTCTGTCCTGCTATTTACCCATAGCTGTGGGGAGAAGAAGAAGGTTCATACCTTTCCCAAGGATATTAGCACGTAAGTGAATGTAATAGATTCAACTGGAAAGTCAGTCAGTTATATGCCATGCGTGATACACCCTTAAGCGATCATGTATCTTTCGATACATGACTGACGAGGCAGATTTTTTCAGGAGTCACTGAGGAGTGGACGTGGCTGAGAGTATCGGTTCCTCCTGGCAGAACGTCACATATATATCCGTCATGTAGACGTTTGAAATCGAAAGTCTTGGTCCTCACTACGTTAGGAAGGCCAATTTTCAGCAACGTCTTCCCAGGTCTCATGATCGATGCTGGACTTTCACGTATCATGCTACCACGCTGCAAGCGGGTAAGCGGAGGCCCAAAACGACAATTCAAGTATCAGCTGAAATATAAAATTGCTAATAATACGTTTTTGTACCTGCAAAATTATAAACAACACATTTTATGTTCTACAAAATAGATATCTAAAACATACCTTTACCCAGAATATAAAATTATTTAGATTTCAGCATTAAGTATCCCATAGAGGTTGATATGCCACTAAAGAAATTCAACCAATCAACAATACCTATTTATCTGTAATTCAAGACATACAAAATATTTAGATTTAGAAAGAAAATAACCCATACAGATTTTGATATGCCGCTAAACAAAATTCAACCAACGAACATACTAATTTATATGTACTTGAAGACATGCAAAATATCTAGCTTTGGACATTAAATAACCCATAGAGGTTGATATACCGCTAAACAAAATCAACCAACCAACAATACGTATTTATCTGTAGTTGAAGACATACAAAATATTTACATTTCGGCATTAAATAACCCATACAGATTGATATGACGCTAAAGAAATTCAACCAAGTAACAATACCTATTTATCTATAGTTGAAGACTTACAAAATATTTAGATTTCGGCATTAAATAACCCATAGACGTTGATATCCCGCTAAACAAAATCAACCAAACAACAATACATTTATCTATAATTTAAGACATACAAAATATTTACATTTCGGCATTAAATATACCATAGTGGTTGATATGGCGTATAATTAAATCTACCAAAGATGTGCAGTCGTTCCGAAGATTTCAGCATAGACATAGTAGGTAAAGTGAATTTCGACCTGCGGTAGGGTAACTCTTTACATGGCACGGGACAACTGGTACCCTATCCAGAGTGGTGTTGATTCGGCACCGCTTGGCGTAGGGATTCTGAGGCTGAAGTCTAAGGTGAGGGCTGAGGCTTTCCCAGCCGTGATGAAGCTGGGCCTTCATGTCAGGCTACGCATGAATGATTACATAACGTCTTGTCAGATGATAAGCTGCGCGGTCACCCTACAACCACACTCGGTTATGACATATGATAATGATCCTGATAATGAACAGGCTAGTTGTAGTCGTATCACTCGTCGAAAAATAATAAAAGGGTACGAAGCGTAAATTGTCGCCATTTTATATTTTTAATTTCGCGCAAGCGCGTTGTTTGTTTATGATTTTATCGACTGCAGAGTATAGGGGTTGAGTTTGGCACCGTCTGCGAGAAAAAGAACTCCATAAAGCTATTTACTCCGCCAGAAATTTGGAAAAGACATGTCGTACTGCTTGGCATTGGCACCGGAAGTTCCAATACAAACATTTCAGAGTGCTTGGGTGTCAATTTGAGGACAGTGCAGAAGATTCAAAAAGGGTTGGATGAGTCTAATGGTGATTACGAAAATGTTTGGAGTGATCACTAGTAATGGCGACGTTATGCTTCAATTCATCTTCCCACATGGCCTCAGATTCAACACGGAATCAAGCGCCTTTAGAATGTAGTGCTACCCAGGGTCAAGAAGAAGTCCCTATGTCTAGGCAGGATAACCCAGTATTGGCTGTCAGACAATTTCTGCGACCGCATCACCCCTTACATCTTGCCACCGAACTCCCCAGACTGCAATACACTTCATTATTATGTGAGGGGTGCAGTTAAGCGATAGACCAATAAAACTTCTTATAATACCAAAGTTGAACTGAAGGCAAGCATTATGGGAGCATTCACTAATTTAAAAAAAGGAGACCGTCCAGAAGCGATGTGGGAGATTCTGAAGTCGTCTGGAGGCCATGGTTGAAGACAAAGGCGATTTTATTAAATAAATTTACTCTTTAGTATTTCAAGATATGTTTTTGTACTTTTGATTAAAATGAGATGTCAGTGCTATATCATTTTTTGCATTATTTCAATGACAGTTTATGCATCGCACCTTGTATAGTCGTGTTAGTAACAAATCTATACCAGTTTATTTGTATAGAAACAAATGTGTTTGATGACTATTTTTTCTGACCAGAAATCATCCTTCATATTTATAAATTCGACCATGCATTGAATATTCCCGCTCTATATTCTTTGATGTTGCTAGATTGTATTTGACAAGATCCAATTGCAACTGCAATTTTGTCGGTTTTGACCTGGCATCTCGGCTTCAATCACTTCCTGACTATCACCTTTTTTCTTAAAATCACTATTATATTATTTTTCTTATTCTCTTCCTCTTCGGTGCTTACGGTCAAATCATGCCGAAAACACATGTTCTCGTCCGAACCCGAAGTTAAGCACTGTCGGGTCTGTTCAGTTTTTAAATGGTTTATATGTCCCGGAAAGGGATATATTTGTTCGAAGTAGCAAAGTGGTTTTGGACTACTGTAAGCGAGTAGGACAATCTAGCAGGTAACCGTCATTGACTGGTCCTCGTCGTAGTGGTAAGCAATAGGCGTAGGCAATAGGCTAAGACAATAGGTGTCGTCCCTGTACCTCCACATCAGTCTGTATTTATGATTGACACCAGCCAATCATATTACTGTGAGGGGGGAACCCAGGTGTATGCATATTCATTACATCAGTTTATTTATTTATTTTTACGGCATATCAATCTCAATGTGTTATTTAATGCCGACAATATTTATCGCTGGAAATATTTTCCTTCAAAAATCTCTTTCTGGTATTAATTTTCTTCAAAAATTTTTATGTGGCAATATTTTTTCTCCAAAAATGTGTAGCTTCTAATTTAAAAAAAAAAATTATCTGGTAATATTTTTTTCTTTTTTGCTGGTAATGACTTTCCCTCAAAAAGTTTATTACTGTTATTGAAACCTATTTTTTATATTTTCATAGTGTCTTGACACAGTTTTGGGCTTAACTATTTGCCCAAAGCTGGGACCCGAACAGGTGCTACCAACCCGAATCAGTGTGAACCTGGGAACATCAGAAATTAAGTGGTGGTTCCACGCTCCTCAAAACCTCCTGATCAGAGGCCTTGCTGTTGGGCGTAGTTTATCATCTTACGCAGCACATGGATGTAGTTTATCGTCATACCCAGGACGGTTCTTAAATGGGGGACCGCTTGAAAACAATGGTTAGTATAATGAACTCCCTATATTTTTTGGTTTTTAATAATCCGCAAGGGTTGATTTGCCGTAAAAAAAAAACAAATAAATCTCTTCCTATTCTGTTAAAGTCATTTTTAATCTATTGAAAATTGATAAGGTGAAATATATTTTTCATTTCTTCTTTTTCTTCTTCTTCTTCTTCTTCCTCTTTTTCTTCTTTTTCTTTCAGTCATTCTTTATTTTCTTCATATATTAAAAAAATATATTTTTCGTTTCATCTTTCACATAATTCCTGATCTCTTCATTTGCTTTTATATTTTAAATATTATTTAGAAAAGTGAATCTTCTATCTCACTTCCTCCTCCTCAATCTCCTCCATCTCCTCCATCTTCTTCTTCTTCTTCTTCTTCTTCTTCTTCTTCTTCTTCTTCTTCTCTTTTCCATTCTTCTTCATAACTCTCCTCTCCTCATTCTCTTTCTTCTCACCCTCCTCATTCTTCTTTCTCCTCTCCTCCTTCTTCTTCATCTCCCCCTCCATCTTCTTCATCATAGCTCCTACTTCTTCATACCCTCCTTCTCATATTTTTCTTCCTCTTTTCTTTCTCCTCATTCCTCTTCCTCTTATCCTCCATTTTCCACCTCCTATTTCTTTTTCTGCTTCTGCTACTGCTGATTTTTTTATTTTTTTTTATCTTTTCATATCTTTCTGTTTTCTTTCTTTCATACTTTCTTTTTTCTTCGTTATTTTCTTATTTTTCTTCTACCAGTTGCGAAGTTTTGTAATGTGTCTCTTTCTTTCTTTCTTTCTTTCTTTTTTTCTTTCTTTCTTTCTTTCTTTCTTTTATTCAGATTTTACTTAAAATCTTTCTTTTACGTTTCTTACTCTTCATAGTTTCCAAGTAGTTTTCTTTTTCTTTTCTTCCTCTCTTCCCTTCTGTTTTCTTCTTCTTCTTCTTCTTCTTCTTCTTCTTCTTCTTCTTCTTCTTCTTCTTCTTCTTTCTGTGAATATCAATTTTCAATATCGTCTCTCTCTTTGTTATTTTGATAATTTTTATCTACACTAGAAACTTAATTTTTCTTTTCTTTGTTCGACCCACAATATTTTCCTCTTCTCTCAAGCTACAAGCACCCCCACCTAAAAAAAACCCCAGAAACACAATATCACAAAACCTTCAATTTGTATTTAATAAATTAATGCCAAACATTGAAAATTCTTGGTATTTATTTCATCTTCAATTCGCTTAAACTTCATCGCATCTACACAGACCGCTTTTTTGCACGATGTCAATTTTACTCACAGAATTAAGTAAGTTCTAGCAAAACTGAATAAAATATTGAGTTTACTATAAGATATGCATATACATTATGACCTCACAAAAAAAGATTTAGGCCAAACTCGACTTCTGAGGTCACTGGAGTTCACTGGACGTTCAATTAGTTGTTGACTTTTAAGATCTCTACTGAAGCCAAACAATTCCATCCTTGGAAGTAAATAGGGGCAGTGGGTGGGTAATTTGAGGAAATAAGATGTAAGGGTACGTAGTGATGACCACAAAAATCAATGGAGGTCACAAAAGGTCAGTTTTGGATTAAAGTAATTTTCTTCTAGCAGAAAAAGAGAACTGGATATGAATCTTAATTTTTTTGTTACCTGCTAAAGCGTTGTGTAAGACTGAAAAAAAAATGCGTTAAGGATTCACAGTAACGAAAAACAAACAAAAAAAAAAACGTCGGGGCTTGTTTACTCATGCACTTAATAGCCCTTCTTTGATGTTTTAACACCCGTTAATCTTAAAAGAGCACAAAAATACGCTCATATTTTATCATCTATAAACACACGTAAAAAACACTTTATTAAATCAGAAACATTTAAGCCATATTTAAAAAATCGAGCTGCTGCCACAACCGTTATAACTCAAGTTCTGTCACCATTACACTAAACATCCCCAGACAAGCAGGTGGAAAAACACGAAACATGGATAAAAATGTCTACTACACATAAACACAGACAGACAAACTTTTGTAATGTCAACAAATACTCGTTGTCAAATGATCATTGTAGTAGAGACTTTGTAATCGCAGATACAACTATAGTAACGCCGTTGAACAATACTGGTGTCAGGCGCCTTCGAAGATCAGTCGCACTAATAGCACTATTTGTACTTGCTCGATAATACTCGCTCGAATAATAACCACCGAATAGTAATCCGTATAGTGATTAGTATAGGGACATAGTGTAGAAATAGTAAATAGTATAGAGAATAGCTATCCGTATATTAATAGATGATAGAATAGAAATAGTGATTGGTACAATAATAGAGGATAGATTAGAAATGGTGATCATTTAGACATCACGCTACTTCTTACTTATACGTTTCATTCACGGCCACGTCATCTACTTAATTCAAAAATGGGATCGCCTGTGTTTGCTCTCTGGCGATTTATGTTCAAACTCTAGTGTCGGCAGCGACAATTTATTCCTATATAACTCAACCGAATATACATTATCGTCCGTATCCCGCATAGATTTATGATACACATACACACATGAATGGTGCGTGACAAAACATATGGAACTGAGTTTTGTCTAATCAATGAAAAACAACGCAAAATCCATAGAACAGTGCCACCACGAGATACGACTACTTTCCCCAAACCGTCTAGTGCTTTCTGCCGAGGTTTCTTCTAGACTCGATGAATTACTTAATTATGATTATTTCAAAAATATATATATATATATAGATAATATTAGTGGTTAATATACATATGCAATCATATATCTAAAATATATACATTTTTAACGTTCTTTTTTATAGATACAAGTATTTAAGGAAAAGCTATGTTTATAATAAACAACATTTACCGGCCTGAATGTCCGAGAAATTTTCATAGAAAATATTCGTCCTTTGACAGGATTCGAACCTGCATCCTATACGGAACCGTCACTTACGCTGACGTGCCTTAACCGACACGGCCACAAAGGAGCGTTCGGTAGGCAAGGTCGAATTTACTGCTTATAAACTTCAATCTTCCATGAATCTCGTACATTCATAACTGCTCTGGCGTATCAAATGTAAACAAATGACGTCATATATTAAGAAAAGTCCGACAATTTATTTATTAAAGACATTTTTATCTATAAAAAAGAACGTTAAACATAAAAATGTCTTTAATAAATAAATTGTCGGACTTTGTCCATTTCTTATATATATGATATATATATATATATATATATATATATATATATATATATATATATATATATATATATATATATAAATATATGGATATAGATCCGACAGTATTAAGAAAAATATGCGGAAAAAACAAACAAATATCCTAATATGCAATTATGCTGTTTTAATGTTAATATAATGTGTTGACATTTCGGTCTAGTACATACAACTAAATCTGATCATAATTTCGATTTTGATTCTGTGAAGATTTTAAAATATTTTCATTATAAAAATCTTAGGCGGATTTATGAGGCAGGCATAATATCTATCTCACGCACGGTGAATACTAGACCCGGCTTCTTTAATATTTACCCTTTTCTAGCAAGATTAATGCTCGACAAACGTACGTATAAGTTTTAGATTAAAATAAAATTCTTTTCATTTTTCATTCAAAATACTATATTTTAGGAATACGTTTTCGCAACAACGCCCACGTGACGACGACGTGATCATATTGAAACGGAACGCTGATCTTCAAAAATTTTGCTTAGTCTTACTCTTATGTCCATTGTCTTTTCATGTTGAATTAAATGTAGTCTAATGTTAATTATGTTTTATGAATATGTCCTGAAGATGGTCTACTAGACTGAAACGTCCGACGTTGACATTATATTAACATTAAAACAGCATAATTGCATATTAGGATTTTTGTTTGTTTTTTTCCGTATATTTTTTCTTCATATATATATATATATATATATATATATATATATATATATATATATATATATGTATATTAAAAATTCAAGAGGATAGAAACCAGGTAGAACTCAATGTCCAGGACAGAGTAAGGATATAATAAAAAGGCTTAAAACTAATATTCCATGGTCATAATTTATTCCATTGGAATCGTAAATACGATCCAATTCATCAGAGCTTGTGATGAATCGGATCGTATTTACGATTCCAATGGAATAAATCATGACCATGGAATATTAGTGTTTAAGCCTTTTATTATTATATATTATTATATATATATATATATATATATATATATATATATATATATATATATATAATAGTAGGCTTGCTACTTGCTACCGCTTCGCAATGTAAGATATATTCACTACTTGAAATTTTGAAGGCCAAGTAAAATGCAAATTTCAAACGAGCCCCCTTACTCGGAACTCGGAGTGGGTTAGTCTGGAATACTTACCGAAAGGTGAGGGAGCGAATGTTGGATGATTTCCTCAAAGATGAAGAAGAGACTCGAGGTGACGGAGATGTCGTTCTACAGAAGGATGCTAAGGATATTATGGACAAAGCGTGTGAACAAAGATGATATCTTAAAGAGGTTGCAAGCATGGAGGAGGCTTATACTTAAAATCAGAAAGAGACAAATGAAGTTTCTGGGACACAATGAGGAATGAGGGCCTGGAGAATATGATACTCACAGGTTGAATAGAGGGAAAGAGAGAAAAAGGAAAACTGCGTGTGACATACCTGGCGGGCTTAAGTAAGTGGATGACAGAACATGGTCTGGGGGAGGAAGCAGAGGGAAGGAACTTGTTGAGAGCTGCAAGTGATAGGGGAGAGCCATGATCGCCTACGTCCTGAAAGGACATGGCACATAAAAAGAATGAACGTAAGTATTTGTTTGTATAGATAAAATATACATTTTTTGTTCTTCCTGAGTGCGAAAACGTCGTGGAGGATATTGTTCGTTCGATAGCTTGTCGTGAGAGTCCAAGCATGGAGGCGATAATAAGATGAATCCCTCCACAGTTCTCAATAACATTTTGTTTTTGCTGGTAACTGCGGTGGTGCCTGGGGGTGAGGCAACTGCAAAAAAAAAAAAAAAAAAGCTAGAGATGGAATGATAAAAATTCCATTTAGAAAAAAAGAAAGTAATGAATGAAAGATGATGACAAGGAGGAGGTGGAAGAGAAAAAAAGACATAATGAAAATACGTAGTAGTAGTTTTGTTTCTTCTAGTGGAAGCAATAACGGCCATATTATGGTAGTCATCGTGGTCAGTGATGTGGTTGGTGACGGTAGTAGATAGAATAGTGAAACGGTAGGGGTGTTACTTGCGAAGGTGATGGGTCAAGACAGTGAATGAAGACTGATTGGAGTTGAGGTTGGTCTACGAGGAAGAGGAAGAGGGATATAGTGTAAATAGTAGTATTAAGACTGCTACGATTTTACTGGTAAGTAAGGTGTTGGTGTTGTATGGACAGTGGTGGAAATTGGAGGATAAAGAACGAAGAAAGGTGACATATAATGAACAGAGAAGAATGTCATGAGTGAAGGGTAGGGGATAAAAGGGTGTGGACTGGACAAGCTGGAGAATAAAAAAGAAAGAAAGGGCGATGCAGTTGAGTGGATGTCATAGTAGTGGGCTAGTGATTTGAGAAATTTGGTGTTGATGGGACATTGGTGTTGCGGGGGTGGTTGAAACGGACACAAGAATGATTAAGAATTTCAGATCGATAAGGAGGTGGTCAGAATCACGCATACGGGAGATGGTCGATAGAAGATTACAGCTGTGGAGTTGGCAGGGTTTCCGAGGTTCTCAATGGCTTTAGCGTGGTCAAGATTGGCGATTGGATCTTATATGAAATGGTGTTGTGTCGGTGAATTTAGTGAGCAAGTTGGAGAGGGAGGAACAGGATAAAGTTTAGCGTTTCAATGAAGAAGTGGGGGTGGGTAAAAGAATAGAAGAAGGAATGAATTTTTCTGAAGAAGAAGAAAATAAATATGAAAGAAGACATAAAAAATGTGGAAAAAACTTGGCTTCTGTTGAAAGGCAGGTTGGTTATATTCGTTAGCGAGGTTTAGTAGTAACAATCCTAGAAGAATAAAAGAAAACATTTGGACAATGTAAGATAGCAAAAAGTGGGTTGGACAATGAATGTTGATAAAAAAGAAAGAAAAAAAAACGTGTGAGATTTATTTATTTATTTATTTATTTATTTATTGCTTGATTCTTAGCAATGGTCTTCCTCTCTTTGGCTGGGCGGATACTTTAGTTATTGTTGGGGGTAGGATCTGACTAGGATGTTTAGAATGGGCGAAAGAAGAAAACCATAAAGGAAATCCTAACCAGACATTAGAATTTGTTAAAAAAACTAATAACTAGTACTGATCAGAGAAAGAGAGAGACAAAGAGAGAGAGAGAGAGAGAGAGGGGGGGGGAAAGAGAGGAAGAGAGGAAGAAAGAAAGAAAGTGAAGAAAAGAGTGAGAAGAGAGATAAAAATGAATAATGGAAAGACGTTACAAAAGAGAATGGAGAGAGAAAGAAAGAAAGAAAGAAAGAAAGAAAGAAAGAAAGAAAGAAAGAAAGAAAGTGGAGAGAAAAGGGAAGAAAAGAGTGAGAAGAAAGACGAGAGATACAAATGAATAATGGATATACGTTTGAAAAGAGAATGGAAAAAGAGAGTGGGAAGAAAGAAGAGATATATATAGAGAGAGAGAAAGAAAGAAAGAAAGAAAGAAAGAAAGTGAAGAAAAAAAGGAAGACGAGACAGAAAGGAAACTGTAAAAGGAGTAAGAGAAACCATATATATATATATATATATATATATATATATATATATATATATATATATATATATATATATGTATGTATAGTGTAACCCGTAAGAGACCCAGATATAAGAGAAACCCAGATATAAGAGAGATTTTATCTTGTCCCAAATTAGAGCCTGTGTTAATGTATATAAAATAGACCATTGATTAAGAAAAACGCGTAGAAATAAATTTAAAACTTGCTAATTTAAAGTAATTAGGAAATTGCGTCAAAAATGCCTAGGAATGAGTTAAAAACCGCGTAGAAACGAGTAAAAACGTGTAGAAATGAGTTAAAAACCTTTAGAAATGAGTTAAAATGCATAAAAATAAAATAAAACGTGTAGAAATGAGTAAAAGCGTATAAAAATGAGTTTAAAAAAATCTTTAGAAATGAGTTAAAAACCCGTAGTAATGATTTTAAAAATCCTTCAGAAATTAGTTTACAAAACGCCTAGAAATGAGCTAAAACGCGTGAAAATGACTAAAAAATGTGTAGAAATTAATTAAAAACGTGCTGAGTTAAATAACGAGGAAAATTGCGTTAAAAATCTTCTACAAATGAGCTAAAAATGCATAGAACTGAGTTAAAACAAAACTCGTAGAAACAAGTAGAAATGAGTTAAAACGTGCAAAAATGAGTTAAAATGTGTAGAAACGAGTTAAAAACGCGTAGAAATGAGTTTAAAAACGCCTGGAAATGGGCTAAAAATGCGGAGAAAAGAGTTAAAAAAAACCGTAGAAATAAGTTAAATAACATCAAAAATTGAGTTAAAAACGCGTAGAAATGAGTTATAAAACTCAGCTGAAATGAGTTAAAAACGCGTAGAAAAGAGTAAAAAGAAAACGTAGAAATAACTTAAATAGCGTCAAATTTGAGTTAAAAACGTGTAGAAAAGAATTAAAATCACAGTGGAAATGAGTTAAAAACGCGTAGAAAAGAGTTTAAAAAAACCGTAGTAATAAGTTAAATAGCGTCAACAAATGAGTTAAAAACGCGTAGAAATAAGATAAAACACGTGAAGAAATGAGGTAAAATGTAATTTCTATAACGACAGATTTAAAGTAGAGATCATGTTTTAAACCGCTTAGGGTGAATAACATTTTGTCTCCCTCATACAGATTTTGTTGTAAAATAAAATGATTTGATCTGATGAGGCTAGATTTTCGATATGTTTATCACACACACACACACACACACACACACACACACACATATATATATATATATATATATATATATATATATATATATATATATATATATATATATATATACATATATATATATATATATATATATATATATATATATATATACATATATATATATATATACATATATATATATATATATATATATATATATATATATATATATATATATATATATATATATATATATATATATATATATATATATATATATTTTTCGCTTACATAAGCCATCATCAAAGATGACAATTACAATGAAAACGAGAAGTATTAAGTTTATATTTAATACTTCTCATTTTCATTCTTGCATGGCCATGTGTGACGTCACGAGCTGTAATGCGATTTTCGTTTCCGCGTCTCGTAAACACGACTTCGTCGTTGCTTTGAAAATTTCATGCAGCAAAATTATTGTTTCGTCCGTGTGTTGCTTGATATATTGAAATGTAATTGTGATCTTTGATAATGACATAAACTTAGATTGGATTTAAACATGTATCAATATGGTGATTTCCTTTCGTCTTTCAATGATAATGTTATTAAGCTTATCAGACAATATAAAAGGAACTTACTTAAAATAAATAGACAGAAATTGTCTATATTATTTAATGAAACATGCATTAATATATATATATATATATATATATATATATATATATATATATATATATATATATATATATATATGGGTAAAATAGCAGGACAGACTGGGTTCTATAGCCTTGGATGGCAACTGGTCTAGGAGAAGGACAACTCTGAATTCAAAACCTGCGGAGGGTCGTTTGGGAACCTTGTGGCATGCATTCGGTGCACCAGGTTTCTGTATTCGTCCCTCCCAAAAGTGTGGCTGGTCCTGCACGAGGCCTTCACCACTATAAACAAATCTCATGTGCCGGTGTCGTGATGTCGGTTTCCTGGGGACTTATCGGCCTGACCCTCATACGTCGAACGCGACGTGAGAGTCGATTATATATGGTACATAATTATCAGGAGTTTTTAATCACTATTTATTATGAAAAAAGAAACAATAATTTAACAATAACATTCTTAAATGATTATTCAGAAGCGTCTGATTGTCGATACGCATTTTTATGACCTGGAAATAATAAACAGTTTTATTAAAGAATCCAATCAAAACAATAATTTTCATAACAATTAACACGGCTAATCGAAAAGCCAATACCCAATAACATTAACTAGGGACACAGTCATGCGGCTTGGACATAAAGAACATTCGGACAATATTACACACTTAATGTCCAGAAAAAGATAAAACTTATACGAACAGAAGAAAAAAAAATGTAATAAAAAGCTTAACAGCAATAACGTCTCTGGGGTATTCAATGTTTTATAAAACAGAGATAGCTGTGCATATTTTAAAATAATCCACATTACAACCAAACACGTTTGCTGTTTCTCTCCCCTTTTTCTAACATATGCACTATTCTCTCGTTGGAATAACTACAACCTCTTCTCTTTATATATATATATATATATATATATATATATATATATATATA